ACTTCTCCGCACGTCCTACCTTCCAGTAAGTGGTCATTTTTCTGTTCAGAGAGTTGTTGCTATTCTTCTCTTTGATGTCCTGTTGAGTTCGTAGGTGTTCAGAAAATGGTTTGATCCCTATTCAGCTGAATTCCTGAGACCAAATGAAACCCAGGTCTCCTACTCCTCCGCCATCTTGCTCCGCCTCTCCATTGATTCTTAACAGCTCTGTGTATACTCTGGATATGAGTACTTTGTCAGATATACATTTTATAAGTATTTTTCCCACACTGGCTTGTCTTTTTTACTTTTTTAATGTGTCTTTCGATGAACAGAAAATCGTGATTTAATATAGTGCAATGCAGTGGTGGTAATTTTGGGGGTCCTATTTAAGAAATATTGCCCACTTAAGTTCATGAAGATATTATCCTGTGGATGCTTCTAAAAGTTGTATCATTTTATCTTTCACATTTAGATCTAAAATCCAACCAGAATTGATTTTTATGTGTCTGCGAGCTAGAGGTTCAAGATTACTTTTTTTGCCATAAGGCTATTCAGTTGACCCAGCACCACTTATAGAAAGGATTATCCCCTCCTCCACTGCACTACAGAATCACTGTTGTAAATCTGCTGACTGTATAAATGTGGGTTTATTTCTGGATTCTATTATGATCTGTTGGTCTGTTATCTCTATTATGTTTTATTGGTCTATTATCTATCCTTACATGGATACCACACTGTCTTAATTACTAAACCTTTGTTATAAATCTCAGTATCTAGAAACCTAAGATTTTCAGCTTTGTTTTTCTTTCTCAAGATTGCTTTGCCTATTCTTAGCTCTTTGTATTTCCATATAAATATTAGAATCAGCTTGTTGATTTCCAAAAACAAGACAAAACCTGCTAGGACTTTTATTAGGATGGATTGAATACATAGATCAATTCGATTAGAATTGACATCTTTATAATATTGATCTTTCCAATCCCACATACATGGTATATATTCCCTCTTTCCCTTTAATTATCTTCGTATTAGTATTCAGAGAAACAGAATCAATTATATATATGATATATATATTGTGGGAATTATCTCATGGGATTATGGAAGCTGAGATATGCCACAATATGCCATTTGCAAGCTGGAGAACCAGAAAAGCAAGCACTATAATTCAGTTTGAGTACAAAGGCCTGAGGACATGGAAACTGCTGGTGTAAGTCCAAAAGCCCTTGAGAACCAGGAGCTCCGAAGTCTGAGAGCAGAAGATGGATGTCCCAACTCAAGAAGAAATGATTTGCCTTTGCTCCACCTTTTTGTTCTATTCGGGCCCTCAGAAGGATTGGATGATTTCTGCCCACATTGATGAGGGCTGATTTTTTACTCAGTCTACTGATTCAAGTGCTGATCTCTTCAGTAACACCCTCACAGACATACCCAGAGAAAGTGTTTTACCGTATCTGGGCATCCCTTAGCTCAGTGAAGTTGACATGACTATCACAATTTCCTTTTCCCAGTTTATAACATGATGGGGCTTAAGCATGCCTGGAATCAATCATAATATTCTAAACAGGCCAAAATGATTAATTTCTCTTTACACAGATGGATGGTTTACTTTAACAGGACGGCCTGTTGTTTACTTCTTTAATGACAAGATCTTGGAAGTGAAAGGCCAGCTCTATCCAAGGCTAACTTGGGGATAGGAAAGAAAGGAAATCAAACCAATCTTGCAAATCTGAAATTCCCATGATACAGGTGATCAGGACCTTAGGGAAAATAAACAATCTGTCAACTAGCATAAGAAACATAACATACCAAGCAATCAGAATTGGTCTATCAGTGCAATCACTTCGCCATAGAGAAACCTTTCTTAGAAACTGAACTGGGCTCAGAAGACTGCTTGGTAAATCAGAGAAAACTGAATCACATGGTCTTAAGGGCTTAATGAGGTAGCCTTGGGGGTCACCTGTTTCCAATAGACATGTCATGCACTTATATTACTTAGCCATGTCAAAAAACCTGCTTCTTTTTGACCATGTTATATCAACCATCAGACTTCTAGTCTAAGTCTACTTTTCTCACTGACCCAGCATCCATGATGCTACTCTTCTCTTGGAGGGTGTCCTCATCATTTTGACATATTTTCACTACCATTTAATATCTTAAAATGTTGTTAATGGTGGTGATGTCTTCAGGGTTGAGTTAAGGTAAGTTTTATTCTTTGTATTCTTTCTTTTTTTAAAGGTTTTATTTATTTATTTGACAGAGAGACAGCGAGAGAGGGAACACAAGCAGGGGGTAGTGGGAGAGGGAGAAGCAGGCTTCCCGCTGAGTGGAGAGCCCAATGTGAGGCTCGATCCCAGGACCCTGGGATCATGACCTGAGCCGAAGGCAGATGCTTAACCACTCAGCCACCCAAGCGCCCCAATTCTCTGTATTCTTTAGTGTATTTTCAAAGTTTGCTGCACAGAGCATATCTACTACAATAATGTAAATAGCCATACATAGGCCATAAACTCCACAATAGGTCATTATTTTGCTTTAAATAATCAATTATCTTGGGATGCCTGGGTGGCTCAGTCGGTTAAGCGTCTGCCTTCGGCTCAGGTCATGATCCCAGGGTCCTGGGATCGAGTCTCACGTCTGGCTCCTTGCTTTGGCGGTGAGCCTGCTTCTCCCTCTGCCTGATGCTCCGCCTGCTTGTGCACATGCTCTCTCTCTCTCTATTGGACAAATAAATAAAATCTTTTAAAAAAATAGTCAATTATCTTTTAAGGAGAGAAAAATATTCTTTCTGCTTACTCTTTGGTTTCTTTTTAAAAAGAAAAAATGATTTTTTATAATTATTTGCAAGTTTGTGAAATTACTCATCACATGGTATACAGTAAGTAATAGAAAAATTATTCATATTAATAGGATCCCTATTTCAAGAGCTGCAGTCGTCATTCACATATAAGAAAGAATTGGCTCGGATCCATTGTCTTCCCTTTCTCTGCTCTTCTGCAACAATCTGAGGTAATAGAAAGTGATTATTTGCTAATTATTCTGAGTTTTTACCTCTGGTTAATAGAAATGTACTGTTTGTTGTCTTTGAATCAGATTCTGTGACTGACATATTGGTAGGTCAGTTAAAACAATCTTGTATTTGAGTGCCATTAGGATGTTGCAGTATTTAAATGTTTTAGCTGTCTCTAGAACAGGAGACACCCATAAATTTATTTCTTATATCTTTAGAGTGTTCACTGATAAAGAATAGCAAAGCTAGGGGTGCCTGGGTGGCTCAGTCATTAAGCGTCTGCCTTCGGCTCAGGTCATGCCAGCGTCCTGGGATCGAGCCCCGCATCCGGCTCTCTGCTCCGCAGGAAGCCTGCTTCTCCCTCTCCCACTCCCCCTGCTTGTGTTCCTGCTCTCGCTCTCTCTCTCTCTCTCTCTGTCAAATAAATAAAATCTTAAAAAAAAAAAAAAAAAAGAATGGCAAAGCTAGCCTTAGGTCTTAAAGCAACACTTACATCTGCATATAATAGTTTTTTAGGACCAGATTCACAAATGTTCTTTGATTAATGATAAATGATTAATGATGTTGCTTTGTGACCATGGGTTCTAGGAGTTTCAGCTCCTCGGGATTGTTTGTTGATAATGGTGAGACTGATGATTAGCACCTGTCTCTGTGATATCCCCACAGGGCTCTCCTGTTGAGTTATGTAGCACAAATATGCCTTCGTGGCCAGCAAAATATAAAAACCTCAGCCTAGACTCCATTTTAGGCTTTGTTACTTTCTTACAGAGCTATGTCAGACACAGAAGTTTCAGAAATGACTTTTCTACCTCAAGGAGCTCACTGTCTATAGAAGAAAACTATAGTTTGCTGTAGTTCTTTGATAGGGGCACGAGATAGTACTATGAGAACATACAGTAGGGAGTACCTTACTCTTCCTGGTTTAGAGGAGGAGTTCGGGGTATTCAGAGGAGTCAGGGCTGAGTCAGGGTATGAGGAGGAGAATGAAAGGTCAGGAAAGTATTTACAGAAGAGATAACTTTTGAATCAAATCCTTAAAGATGGTTTGTCAAACAAAAGAGGGTATTTGACTCAGAAGGAATTATGTGTGTATTAGTATTGCATTCAGCCATTTGCCACAGAAAACCTAACAGTGATGCAAGGGGTCTATTTATCTCACCTAAAAAGGAGTCTAGATGACAGTGCAGCAGCTCGAGAATATCATCACATCACATAAATATCATGTACCTTTCATCCTCATAATGGCAAATTGGTCAATGCACCTCCAGCCTCATCCATGTTGTAGAAAAGAGCAGGGTGAAGCAAGAAGGGGCAGTGCCTGTATCAGGAAAACAAACACTTTCTCAGAAGACCCTGACAGACTTCTTACATTTATGTGAGTTGGCCACTGTGTGGCTGTCGTGTTGCTGTCTAAAACCATTGGTGAGAAAGGAGGACAGAATGGATATTAGGGAGGAGAGGAGAAATGTCTGCATAATGTGTCATCAAGAGGGATGTCACACGGGAGCATGTTGCAAGTACGAGGGCTGCAAATAAAGAGCAATAGAGATTTTTTTTTTTTAAGATTATATTTATTTATTTGAGAGAGCAAGAGCCAGAGAGCACGAGCAGAGGGTGGGGAGTGAGACAGCACAAGTGGGGTGAAGGGCAGAGGGAGAACTAGGCTCCCCGCTAAGCAGGGAGCCCAGTGTTGATGCTGGGTTTGATTCCGGGACTCCCGGGGACTCCGGGATCATGACCTGAGCCAAAGGCAGACACTTCACCGACTGAGCCACCCAGGCGCCCCAGCAATAGAGATTTAAGTTGTTAGAGGTACAGGGCTTCCTACTCTGTAAATCTCTGGATATCTCTCAGTCTCAGGCCAGACTCTAGGATAGAAAGGTAGTTGACAATGTGAACTTCAAAAGTGGACAGACCTCATTAGCTGTCTGAGTTTGCACAAATTCCTTAAATTTTATGATCCTCAGTTTCCTTATCTGCAAGATGGAGATAAGAGCCATATCTACTTCATTGAATGATATGATCTATATCAAGTATTTGGCACAGTGCCTTGCACATAGTAAGTTCTCAATAACTATTAGCTATTATTATTTAGTTGTTATTATTGTAAATCAGCTCCTACCTACACACACACACACACACACACACACACACACACACACAAGACCCCCTCCTCCTATGGACCTGTGGGTTGTCCTTCCTGCTGTTATATTTTTTCTTCTCTTTCTAGACCGAATATAAAATGTAATATGGTCTTTTAGCATCTTCTCTGAGCCTGAATTGGATCTTCTAAGAACTGTCATTCTGTTAGGGTAACCTGCATCCCTGTGTCATCCCTTTCTAACTTACGCCCTCTCCACACAGTGCATATTAATGAGGGACCCAGAGTGTCAAGGGTGCCTGTGAATAGACCACCATGGAGAAAGGCATATGTGATCATCCTTGAGCAGGTGCGCAGAACCAGCACACACGTACCCATGCAAGCCTGTTTCCTCCTCTGGAGAAGACTGAAATGGGCTGTACTGTATTTGCTGATGTATATTTTCTTCATGTGGAATCTATTATATTGATATATTCTTTCAGATTAGTGGAACATTTCAAGTAAATATTCCACCAGTTTTGCTTGGGTATGCTTGGAGTAAGACTTATGTGTCTCCTAAAGAAGAGTATAATGGGCAGAATTTAAAAGAATGTACCTTCTTAAATATGTTTGCTACCCTTGAACCTCAGATATCACATGTCACCTGTAATCCAGAGCTAGACAAGGTAGGTTTTACATTGAATTGTTTTACGTGTACTACTAAAGAAGTATAAAGTCTTTTAAAAACTAGTAATAATTTCAAAGCTGGTAAAAATGAACATTGGTTCTTGATATTTTCCTGTGGGAACAACATGGTACCATGTCAAAATATTTTGAACTTTATTCTAGTTTTCAGATCAAACAGATGTTTTGGAGAGAGCACTGATTTTTAATAAAACTTGTAAGGCAATGTTTCCCAACCGAAGAATCACAACTACTGTCTTTAATGGTGAAGGGTTACAGATCTTAGTAACCAGATACATCAAGGCACTAAATCCACCTCAGCAATTCCTGGATATGTTTCTTCATGATTCTAACGCAACACTTGTAAGATATGTATTTTAGTAGCTTTATTGATGTATAATTCACATTGCATAGAATTCACCCACCTAAGGTGTAAAATTCAATGGTTTTTAGTATATTCACAGCGTCGTGCAGCCATCACCATAGTAAATTTTAGAATATTTTTGTCAATCTTAATTTATATTTATTTTGTTTACTTTTTTATATTAACTTTGAGCATAACTTTCTTACTAAAAATTGTTTTGCTTTCAAAGACAGCTTCCTTTTAATAAATATGTTGCAGTATGTCCTCCCGAGCCCCAGATGCGGGTAGAATATTTCTTCTAGATTCCTTTCATTTCTGCCCCCTTGGACTAGAGTCACTGTGGCTACACCGGTTCATGTGACCACACTGGCTTTGTAACATTTCTACCAAATTTTGAAAAATTCCTTTGACTTCCAGGCAAAATTAGAAGTTACATTTCTAAAGGGATTTTGTCCTTCTCAGGATAGCTTTTTACTGTATGTGAGAATGAAGAAATTATGTTATATTTTTCTTTGTAAACTGCCAACATAACACCTCCCACTCCATCCCTATGTGACTTCTTCTTTATGCATATCTATTTACCAGCTGACAAGAGAGACATATGTTCAAAATTGAATTTCATATAAAATGAAGATTTATTCACTATGGACTCAAAACCTCCCTCTACTCTGAGAAAGGAAAATATGAAATCAGAAATTTAAGTCTCCTCTTTGAGAAAAAAATTAGCTTTGCTTAAAGGGCATCCGTGAACAATGGTTTATATCTTTTGTTCATTCAGGTTTGATTGAGTCAGTTAGCTTACTTCAGAATATTTATATTATTTGTCCACTATAAAGCTCCCTTAGCTGGACTCTTTAGGATAAAATCAAAAGTCCTAATTTAGGTTGTCTCTGGATACACACTCTACCTTTCCATCACAAGTTTCTTCTCGTCTGTTTCCTATCACCCGAAGTCCAAGGAGTTAATGATGCTCTAGATTTATTTCAAAGACAATCTCTGTCTTTTTAAAAAATATATAACTCTTAGCAACTTTGCTTATGAAGGACTATGAACCATGTTTAATTGCATGAAGTCAGAAACGTGACCAATGTAGGAGGTCATTAGTGCGTAAGTGATGGCTATTATAAATCAGTGAAAATGTCAGTAAACTTTCTGTGTGGACTCATTACTTGTATCCCTTTCTCCTTTCCTACTTTAGTCTGAGCCCTTGTCTCCAGCACCAACATTTTCCTGCTTCAACAGCTTGTAACAAGCTTGTATTAATAAGAATAATTCTGATCGATTTGGAAAAAGCAAATAAAACTTTTGCTATTCTTCAATATCTTTCTAAAAAATTCTTAACAGTTGTAATTTAAGGTATATAATATATATCATGTTTAAAACTTTAATAATTTATCACAGTGAAGTGTAATGGTTAACAGGCATTCTCTGGAGTCAGGCTAACTTGGGCTTATTCCCAGAGACTCCATACATTGTGTTAGCTTTGTGATCCTGGGCAAGTTATCTTATCTATCAAGTTATCTTATCAAGTTATCTATACTTGTTTCCTCTTATGTAAAACAAAAGTAATAATAGTATGTATTTGATGGGCTTGTGGGATACGCTAAATGTGATGATATTGCATGTAAAACACTGCTTGGTGATGGGCATGTAGTATGCACTTAATAAATGTTAGTAAATATTATTCTAGGACCTCATTGCTCGCTTTGTATCTTTGATTCCTATTGTGCCTGATATTCTGGATGAAAATGATGGTTTTGACATATGGATGACATCAGAGGTAACGAATTATGTTTTATTTATTTATTTGAGAGAGAGTGTGTGCGTGCATGAGTTGGGGGTGGGCAGAGGGTGAGAATTTCAAGCCAACTCCCCACTAAGCACAGAGCCCTGCATGGGGCTAGATCTCACAACCCATAAGATCAAGACCCGAGTGAAAACCAAGAGTCGGACCTTAACCAACTGAGCCACTCAAGCGCCCCCATTATGTTTTATAATTAAAATATATAGTATTTCTTACCTTTCTCCTAAAGAAACATTTATGCACTTATGAAATACTTTGTCTTATGAAATTTGAAAGCATTTGATAATACATCGTTTTCAGCTCTATAACAATCCATAGAAATAATTCTTAAAGAGGAACAACCTTATTCAACATTATAAGTGGTAGGTAGCTCATGAATATTTTAATTCGATGGGAATTCCAGGAGTACAATATTATGACATCCTCCAGGGAGAAATATGGCTTGTCACTATGGAGCTGGACAGATGCTGCGTCTAGGACAAATACCACCACTTCTCAGAAGCTTTGCCAAGCCTCCCCACATCTGAATGAAGAGCTTACACAGCAATGCTCTTCCTTAGCACTTGGATTAAAGTTCTCTTTAGATTGGTTGCCAACTAGAATACAAGCCCCGTGTAATATTTGAGACATATTTATACTAAACATTTGTTTATCTGAAGTGCAGATTTAGTTAGTCATCTACTTTTCCCCCCAAATCTGGCAACCCTAATTAGAGCAGTTTTTTCATTTCACCCTAAATTATATTTAGCTGCTTATATATTGACCCTGCACCCACACTCTGTACATATATATCCCAAGTTTAACCTCCGAATGAAGAAGCAGACTTGATTATTTATTTTTATATTTTTATGTAAATTTAGCAAGCATTCAATAAATACTATTAATTGAAAATTACTAGTATGACAGGAGCCTAAGAGAGGGACACTTTCCGTCTGGAACCAATGGTCCTGGCACTTAATCTAGAATGTTTTAGCAGCTAGAGTTGAGCTGAAACGGATTTAGGGGGCACAGGGCTAACTTAATTAGTCAGCTACCCTGTCTTCTTCTGCGAAGGGAAACACAAGCATGTGGTTCTAGTGATTCAGTGATTCAAATCTAGTAGAACTCAAAGAGTTGTCATTAACTTTAGACTCTTTGACCTAATCAGAATATGTTCATGGGTATTATGATCCTGCAGAACATTGAAAGAGCCTCTAAAATATCTAAAAAATAACCATTCAGGTAAATACTAGTACCCCTGAGTCTCCCCCCATCCCGCTCTTCCAGTTGAAGAAGTTTCAATCATCTTCCTGATTGGGCTTAAACTCCATCTTCTTCCTCTCTTTGAGTTGAGAGCACTATATTGGTATTGGACAGAGTGAAGCTCCATTGACCAAAGGATCCTTTCCTCTAAAAACTCTATGTGATTTCCTATCAGATGAGGTTTCTTAAAACATCAGTCTGTCTGTCCCTGTTTTCCAAGGGCAGTTTAATATTTGTCCTAAGCAGAAATATCCTATTTTCGGATGATGAACTATTTGGTCACTTACACAGTATCCACATTAATTGTCCCATAGTAAGGGTGACCCCTATATTCCAAGTTAGTGTTCTCTCCAGTGTTTTCTCCGGCAAAGGTATTGGAGCTTTGAACATGGAGGGAACAGAGAGGCTCTGAATCTGTTGGCTGCTTATATTACTCAACTTTCTCTTCTGTTTTCTTTTGGCCTTTTTGCTTTTGCTTTGCCTTAGCGCTGCATCAGTTTGGCTATTGGAAATAAGGAAGAGCATGCCATACTACTCTGTAATTTCTTTCTGTATTTTGGAAAGAAAGCTTTGGTCCTCCTGGGGACCTCAATGTTGGAAGTAAGTGCTGGAGTTAATACTTAAATAGTGTAAACAAAACTAATCATCCTTCAGCTGCAAGTTTAAAAGACACCAAACCCAGTTTTCTGCCTTTTCACAAGCTAATTCGGGAATTTCATGTGCAATCAGTTATTTAGTTAAGAGGATATTGTTGGCTCATCAAAATGACCACAATGTAAAGAAACGCTTTCCTTCACTTTTCTTTGTAAAGCTGTCCTAATAATAGTGCTACTTCATGGGGTTACTAAGATATTAAATTACACAATGAATATGTGACACTGAGAACGGCACCTTGGTTCATAGCAAATACTCAAAATGGTTATGGTGGTGGTGGTTGTGGTGATGTAATGTCATAGCAGTAGTCATAGTGGTTGTTAACTATCAACCACCATCATCTTTATAACTTTCTAATAATGGAGTTAAAGATCCTTAAGAAATACTTCTCCCTATTCTTCCTTCCTCAGTTTTTAGTCATACAAGATGTGGGTCTGAAATTTGTGTTTACCTACCTGAAATTTTTACAACTTAAGTATGCTCCTGCATTCATACCTCCAGAAAGCTATCATCTTTTGGATTGTTTCTATTTCTACCATGAATATCTTGATAAGGGTCAAGATTTCCAGTCCCATTTTAGGCTTTGTGTTATGATCACTTATTTCTCTATATTTCCTTGGCATGGCTTATTATTTTTGCCACATTTGCAAGCTAAAAGCCAGTGGTTAATCTCCCCCCTTGCCATCCCCCTGTGTAGTTTTAAGTGCCACTAGATGGCAGTAAACAGTCAACAATATTTCAACAAACGTTTGCTTTTGTGCCTGTGAGTCAACACGGTGGGTGGCACCTCAGCTGTGTGTTTCACCTCAGCTCTGTGGTTGAGGTGAGGCCTCCTCTTTGTTGTAAAGAAGATGAGCACAGTGATAAAGAACAAGAGCCTTGGAGAGACCAGGCTACACGGCCCAGTGTTAAGAATTTGTGTTTGGGAGTCAGTCAAAGAGGGGTTTAAAACCCAGCAATGCCGTTTACTAACTGTGTGATCTTAGCTTGTTTACTTCTCTGAGCTTCAGTTATCCTCTCCCTAAACAGAACTAATGCCATTTACTGTTACGCTAGACAAGCCCCTCAACCTCTGACTCCATCTGGAAGATGGGCATAATGATCACCCCATCTCAAAGAATTTGAAGTGAATGCAAAGTGAAAAAATTTCGTGTGAATGTTGAGCACGATACCTGGTGCACATAAATTCCCAATAAATGTTCAATAGTCTTTATTATTATTACCTGAAATTGTTATTCTTTTCTAAGAAAACTTTGAACTTAAAAAGGTATGTTCAGAACAGAATAGTAACAAAATGACTACTTTTATTCCTCAGATGGTTTCCTATATACTTTCTCTCTAGCCTCTAACTTCAGATTTTGTTCTCAAAATTAACTTAATGGCTTTTTAACTTCATTTGGCTTTTTCAGAGCCTTAGGCAAGTGTCCATTTCCTAACTCTGCGTGGTGTTTCCCTTCAGTCCCCAAGTATATTCCACTCAAAGCAGGGCTAGTCCCTGTAGTGCCTTTGTGTGAATTAGGCCAAAGTATCCCTACCTCAAAACATTTCAGTGCTAGCTGTTGTCAGAGTATACGGATTTTTCTAGAACAACATGTTTTACTGCTGCGGGGGTACACCCTACAGGGCTGTACATGGCAGCACCAGCTCAAAATTTCTCTTATTTGAATCTTCATGCTAGCCTGGGCCTGAGGATTTCTGGAGCTTTGGCTTTTTTGCTTTTCAAAAAGACTTCGAAGACCCTAAAAAAGACTTTTAGAAATCAAAGATATCACATACTTACATTATAATTTCCACATACAAAAATGAGTTAAATCAACCACCCCACCAAACATGACTTTAACTCTTTTTCCTCATATAGGGACAAGTGGCTTATGTATTAACTCAAGAAACTGATGAATATTTGCTTTGGAATCCATTAACTGGGCAATGTCATAAGCAGTTTGACCCATTTTGTCCCTTACAAAGTGTAGACTGTTTGTTTGATGATGGAAATGTAAGTATATGGCGGGGGTGGGGGGTGCGGAATCTTATTTTGAGTTATCGCCTGAAGAGTCAAACAGTGGACCTCTACCCTGGCTCTACATTAGAATTGTGTGGAAAACTCTGAGGAAACTACAGATGTTCAGTTAGAATCCCTGGGATATAGAGCCAGGGAAATCTTTTATCCATAAAGTTCCTCAGGTGATTCTGTAGCGCCTCCAAGACTGAGCACCAGTAATCAGTCTAATGTTTACATACCCCTAGAATCGCTTTACTTCCTACCTCAGAACCTCCTTTGGCTTCTCCCACTTCATTTGGTAGTAGGACTGTAAAATTTTGCTCCATCCTAACCAGGTAGGGCCTTTGTACTCCCATGTGCCTATACTGATTTTATGTTTATGTTTTAATAGGTCTGGTTTAATATTGAACAAAACAATACACCGATGGCTGTACATTTTGACTATTCAAAGGAAAGTTTCTGGAAACAGTTGCTTCCAAAAAATTTCCAAGGGACAAAAGCACATACCATACAGGTAAATTATATTTTTCCAGGTGTGTCTGTATGAAAGTTCCCATTTGTTCTAATCTTTGCCAGTCATGCCATCTCGTTATGTTTATATAGCTGGTTGCATGTTGATTTACCTGGCAATATTAATAAAATCTAGTTTTCTTCGCCATCCAGCCTGAGTTTGGGCTAGTCTAACCATACTCCTCTGCTTGCAGAAAAGAAGAGTTGAGAAGAAGGTATCATCTTAAATGTGAATTTAGATTTTAAAGTAAAAAATTTTAAATATTTATTCTAAAACTGAAAATATAATGTTAAGATGGTGCGGTAAGTTTACTTTGACCTAGCCCTTCTGTTCCACATCCGTGGCAATGGTAAAATATAAAAATTGAAAAATAGAAGGCTTATCTGGGCTCCAAACCATGATGATTGTCTCATGGAATAGAAACAGGACAGAAATACTAGCAGTGAGTAGGGCCGAACAGGCGACAGCAGCAAGGTCTGAAAATGGTTCATGAAATCCAGGGAACCAGAGCCAGTCCCACTTTTTGGAGTCAGGGGTTGTGATGGGGCTTCCTACTTTACTACTCTTGAAAGAACAGCTAGCACTGAAATGTTTTGAGGTAGGGAAGGAACGCTGCAGACTCACTGCCTGGGGCATAAGAGGCAGGAGGAGGAAGCACCTCACACCTGAGGTCAAGAACAACCTAATGACCACAGATGGCTCAGCCAGTGGATCTGCGATGGACTAGTGTCACTTTGTGAAGGCACCCCAAATTTCACTTCAGTGGCTGTTTCTGGATTGAGGGCCAAGGCACGGCAGGGTGCAAGCAACAGCAAAATCCATAAACTAAGAGCTACGAGCTCAGAGAAAGTGAGAGAAAAAAAGAAAGTAGAAAAACAGGCAGAAAACAGTTCATAGAAGCAGGAACTTGAATGCTCAATCTCACTCACAATCAGAGAAATAAAATTTAAAACAATAAAACACTACTTCACATGTATAAGATTGACAAAAGAAATTGTAAGTGTGATCATACCAAGTGTTGGCAAAGAAGCAGAGAAATGGTGGGAAGGTAAATTGCTATAAATACTTTGGAACGCATTATGATGATATCTGATAAAACTGAAGATGCTCAATCTTTGATCCACCAATTCAACTTCTAAGTATATACCATAAAGGAGCAAGCACAGGGAGACAAGTACAATAATGTTCATTATAGAATTGCTTGAAATAGCAAAAATAGATTAAAAAAAAAAAAGAAAGAGGGGCACCTGGGTGGCTCAGTCATTAAGCGTCTGCCTTAGGCTCAGGTTATGATCCCAGGGTCCTGGGATCGAGCCCCGCATCGGGCTCCCTCCTCAGCGGGAAGCCTGCTTCTCCCTCTCCCACTCCCCCTGCTTGTGTTCCCTCTCTCGTTTTGTCTCTCTGTCAAATAAATAAATAAAATATTTTTTTAAAAAAGGAAAGAAAGAAAGAATTCATCCACCAGAGAAAGAATACATGAGTTATGAAGTACTCATACTATGAAATCTTCTATATAGTAGTAAAAAAAAAGAAATGAAACAATTTACACTAGTTCTCAACTTGGACTGTGTATCAATTACATCAGAATCTCTGAGGGTGGAACTCGCACACCTGTATTATTATTTAAAGCTCCCCGGGTGATTCCAATGTGCCGCCGAGGTTGAGAACAACTGATCTAGAGCCATGCACATCAACATGAATGAATATTAAAAAAGTAATGTTAAGCAAAACAAAGAATATGTGAAATGACACACAGAGTACAAAATCACTTGTATAATAAAAGTTTGAAAACTATGTGTTGTTTATATATATATAGACACATAGTGATAATGTAAAAGCATTCATAGGAATGATAAATACCAAATTTAGGTTAAAGGCTACCTTTGGAGACAAAAAACAGAATGAGACCAGGGAGCAACATACAAAGTACTTCAAGTCTATCTGTAATGTTTTACTTCTTTTTAAAAAATCTAAAACAAATACAGAAGAATGCAGATATTAGATATAGCTAAGTGGTAGGTATGTTGAGTAGATGTTCATTACATTATTCTCAATGCTTATCTGTGTATTTGAGGCATTTGACAATATCAAAAAGAATGGATGGCGGTTGCAGGGAAGGGATCAAACAGTACTAAACTGTATAAAGAATGTCCCTCCCCTTCAACATTTTTCCTCACTAAGAAATAACCACTCTTAGTAGTAACTTGTGCGTCCTTCTAAACATTCTCCACATGTTGCAAGCATATATATATTTTTTATATTTCCTGTTTGTAAAATCATTTTAAAGAAGGGGAAATGTGCTTATCTCTCTTGAGCAAGCACTTTCAGCATCCACAGGCCATGCCTTGCTCTTGCCCTCCCAAAGTTGTGACTGATGCATTGCTGCCTCCTAGGGAGGAGAACGGTACATTTAGAGATGAGGTTTTATGTGTACTATTAATCAGTCTGTTAGGCGATTAGTGAATGCATCTCGCATGCCTGCTGAGCCAGTGCTGTGTCAGGCATCGGTTCCACAAGGAAAGACATGTCTCAGTAGTCCGGAGGCTTGTGTTCTCAAGGAGCAAAGAGAAGGAAGCAAGCCCTTGCAGGACAGAGTGGTAAATGTGATTACAGAAGAAATGAGTGTGCTTTGGGAGCATGCAGCAGGAGGACCTGAGGGAAAGGAGAGTTGCTGGGCTTCCTGGGAAAATGGGATGAGGGGCAAAGTGAGGAAGGTGAGCAGGAGCCGACTGAGGGGAAACTCAGGGTGGACAACCACGCAGCAGAGCGAGGGTACAGCAGACGTGCGGGGCATGGAGGGATCTGGGGAGCAGCTGAAAGGCAGCTTGGCCGTGCCAGGGAGCGAGCAAGACAAGCTCAGGGGTGAGCAGAGTCCTGCTAAGGATGTGGCCCTGTGTCTCAGGGCAGTCAGAAGCCAACAGCACTAAGGCAAGGCTGCCATGATCACAGCTGTAGTTTCTAAAAGCCACTCGCCTGAGCGTGGAAACAAAACCTTTTGCCAAGTTGAATCTATAAATATAAAACTCAGAATTGCGTTTGGCTTGTATCTCTACTGATTTCTTTCCTGTGGGTTAATGGCCCTCAATCTTCTGTCTTGCCACACACATCCCAAAATAAACTGCTATCTGTAGTGAACACTTCTGTATCGTGATCGCAGACACAAATTTAAGCGTCTAAGATGAGTATGTGGGTATGCAGAGATGAAGTTAACAGGGAAATCCTCTTGAAGTTTTATAAAGATAGGAATTCCCGGAAAGAAAGGGGACTTTACCAAAAAAGGAAAGTGGACAAATACCTTTATAAGGTATTTGTACCGAGTTAACATAACCCAGGCCTCTTTTTCGGGCCTGAAGGTGGCCTCAGGAATCCACAAGAGTTACCTGCTGGAGAGAGGGTGCGGGGGGAGGGAGTGGAGGTGTTGGAGGGTTGCACAGTGGTTGGTGGCAGCAATAAAGGCATTCGGCTTACCTGTCCTGTCTGGGAGAGCTGGTGGCCCTGCAACGTGACGCTGGAGTTCATAGTTCCCTTTCTGCAGTGCCTCCCATCTCCTGCCGGGATCTGTTGTGGGGAAGCTCCCTGTGCCTGGGCCTGTCATCACATCTGTCCACGGCAGGCCCCAGAACCCTGGAGGGCTTGCTGAAACACAGAGTGCTCAGCCTTGCGCTCGGAGTTTCTGATTCAGTGGGTCCCATGTGGGGACTGAGAAGTTGTATCTCTAACAGGTTCCCAGGTATGAGGTTGCTGGTCTGGGGTGGGGGTGGGGGGCACAATTCAAGAACCACTGGCTTAGATCACCACGTGACAGACTGAATCTTCTCCATCACTCCTGAGATATTCTAGCACCTGGAGGTCTAAGAACTGTTGCCGTCTTTTTGCACAACCCTCCCTCTCCTCGTGTCCCTGTCTCTACAGCTTTCTCTGTTTCTCAGTTCAGGAATGCCCAAAGTAAAAATGTCTAAACCCAGCCCCTCCTTCTTGTCCACGTGAGCCCTGCGAGATTGGGCGGGGAGGGCTGCTTTGGGTGGTAGACTTAAGGAGTCCCCTCTCCTCGCAGCAAATCCCGCAGGGCAGGGAAGGGAATATGGGGAACGTGGTAGAGCGTTGCTCTCTGCTGTTTTTACAATGGCTTGGAGACAGGGGAAATTGAAATGGACCACACACACACACACACACACACACACACGCACGCAAATAAAAAGACCCAGCTCCTCCTGCAAGCTGAAAGAAAAGGATACTCAAAGAAGGAAGATGATAAACCATGTTAAAGGAGTAGTAATAACAATAATACCTGATTTTATTGAACAATATGTGCCAGGCTCTGCGTGTATTACTTTATTTCAAAATCTTCACAAGACCCTAGGGAAGTCAGTACTATTATTGTCCCTCTTTTAAAGATGTGGTAACTGAGACTCAGGTTAAGTAACTTCAAGACCCCAGTTAATCAGTGGAAGAGACTAAAGCAGCTTGCCAAAGGCTATCTGGTCTCATCGATAAATATGGCAAATGCTTGTTTGAATAAATGAGTGTGGGCAGCAGCTCCGTCTCATCTAGGAAAAATACCCTAATTCCTCATCCTGTGCTCTGGTAAAGTAGTACTAAAATCAAAGGAAGCACTGTGATCTGTGTTTTACCTTTGTGCCTCTGTAGTGGAGTGATTTTGCCACATGAAAGGGGTTTGGGTTCCCCTTGTTGTAGTTCGCACTCCAGGGGTGACCGCGATGTAAAGGTTGTTTCCCTAGAATCTTTTTTGACTTTCAATTGTCTGTACATTTCAGCCTGAAGAAATTATTTATTGTGAGACTAATAAAAGCATGATAGAAGATCTAAAGAACAGGTATCACCTTTATTTGTATCTTACAATTACTACGTTTTCTCCTGAGTCTTTCAGTCCTCCTTCCACCTTTCAGCCCTCTAACCCAGTCTCTCAAAACACCTCTTCGATTCCTCAATAGAAGCAGGAAATGGAGTTTATAATAATCTCTTCCCCTGAGTCAGCTATCTTTTGGTCTGTGCATCGAAAAGCAGCCCCTCTGGCATTCCAGAACACTCCTTAAAAAGACCATCGAAGTAAAAAAATGGTTGCCTCTGGAAACATTGTGAGGCTGCTGTTGGGAAGTTCTCAACACAGACACCTGTTGACGTTAGAGTAATAATAATAATGTGGTAGCTAATACTTCTTGAAAGGATATGAAGGTAAATGGCCCATCAATTGGAGTATGGAAAAAACATCCAAGTTGGGTGGTAACATCAATACTGTCCCACACCCACCCCTAGCACTCCCCCCTTCCCTTACACACACACACACACACACACACACACGTGCCCTAAGGAGTTATTCAGTCAAGCTGAACAAGTTTGTCAAAGTCGCAAACTTTGCAGCAGGCCTTACTCCTACTCCAGATGTGTCAGAAGCTTCTAGATCTTACTGCCTTCAGTGACTCACGCTGACATAGTAGGCTGCCCCATAAGCTGCTACCAACCGATCAAAACAAAGCATGACAAAAATAATTTTGCTACTCTCTTCTCTCACTAGCACACAACTCCCACCTCATATTCCCTTCCTTTTTCCTCAATTCTTAACAAAAAAAAAAGGAAGAAATGGGGTAGAGAAATGATTCCCAGCTTCTGGTTTTTTATCAGAATCACTTCTAGAACTATTTAAAAATACAGATGCCAGGGTCCCAGACCAGGCCTGTTGAATCAGTATCTGGAGGTAAAATATGTTGATAAAGCCCTATTAGTGATTCTGATGCTTAGCTACTACTCAAACAGCAAACTCCAAACTTCTTGGTTACACCACAGACAGCCAAGAGGAGACTCCCAGTGGCTTTTTTTTAGAGCACACACTGATTCTGTGCAGAGATGAGGCTTCCCAAGGGGGCCCCATCAATCCAACCTGCACTGTCCCTGGAACAGTCTACCAGCAGGCACTGCTCTAGGGGCTGAATATACAGGCACAAATCCCTGCCCTTACGGAGGGAGGGTATATTCTAGTAGGGGAACCTGATCATCATACTTATCAGTCTGTGCCTATTTCCTTCCAACTCTGCCTGCTGAATTAACTGATCTAATAAATCCATCCCTGCTAACATCACTCAGACCAGATATCTGAATTTTGGTAAATGCAGTTTCTTGGAAACACAATGTTTTATGGCAGGGGAGGGTCCTGGAGAATGGGGATGTCAGTCCAGTGACCAGACAGTAGATGGTTGTCACATCACACCCAGTAGGCAGCCTACACACAGGTAACTGGAAAAGAGCTGTGCCCCTGAGATCTCATTGTTGGCTACCTCAGGAAGCTTCTTGATTTCCCAAGCCAAGCAAGAGCTGCTTCTCCCCAACTTAATAATGTGAATGATGGCAGATAACCTTAGCCATAGAGGTCTGGTTCATCCTAAATAAAAAAAATATTCTCATACTTGAGCAAAGTGCCAGAACTCTTACACATTTATTAAACAAGTTGTAATTTGTCATAAACTAATCTTTGCATTCTTTCGTTAGGATTGAAAGGACTCTGAAATGTAAAATGATGGAATGGCGACCTAAACAGCCGACACGTTGGAATCGACAATGCACTTATATTTTGCGAAAAATCCTTCCTAAACTAGAACTTGGCACTGGAAGCTTTGTTTCATCTGAAGAAGAGAGTGAATTTGAAAGACTACTACAATTTTATTGGGTGTGTATATGATTTAGTGCATTAATAACATTTGTTTTATCTATGTTGTTCATTACTAGGTAATAGTAGCCTTAAATATCCCTGAAATGCTTTTATCTTGATCCTAGATGATAGATGATATGACATTAAAATACATTTATTTATAGACTAAGAAATTTCAGATATACTGAACAGCTATTACCATGACCACACTGCATGACATTTTCTTGGAATCAGTCATATGTTTTATGTTATATAAACCACAACCTCTGGAAAGAGATGACCAAAAGGAAATCACCTGCAACTGAGAAACTGAAAAATGATCCCTTGGTGGTAGTAATAGAATAGATTCCCTGTCCTTGGTTCTGGGCAAGAGGACTCCAGGCAAGCTTTAATATCTTTTATATGCAAAATACTCCAAATGTATGTACCCTAGCCTGGACTTCTCTCCTGACCTCCTCTCTTATATATTTACCAACACATTTGACATCATCCTGGATGGTTAAAAGGCATCTCAAACTCAACAAGTTCATAACCAAACATGGGCATTTGGTATATTGCTAGGGCCCTCCTTCTTTTCCTCTACCTACCCCCAGCTCTGGATATCCTCTCACTGACTCTTCCCTATGAACTGGTCTGGTGGGTTTTTGAAAGCCCCAGCCTCCCAAAAGTGAGATTCTTTCCCCCTACTATCCCACAGACTAGGAGATATCTCCTAGGGAAACCCTATGAGAGAAGAAAAGAAAGAATCTGTTGGGAGTTCAGTACTTAGGCTGTCAGGTGGGAGGAGCTGCAGGTGCTGTTTATTCATGAATAGGGAGGAAGCTGCTTTGTTTTGCATTAAAAAAAAAAAAACAGAATTAGGGGTAAACAGATAAGCAAAGCAATATAAGCCAAGGTTTAAAGCTTAGAATTTCTTTGTAAAATTATCTATTTAATAACGCACAATCATAAACCTGTGCTGAATCCTGTGGCTTGGATTCAAACCCTGGTTCAATCACGCACTAGCTTTGACCAAGTAACCTAACTTCTCTGTACTTTCCACCCTACTGGGCGAGATAAACAGGGATAAAAATGGTTATCTCGTTTGTGGTCATGGTGAGGATTAACCACAGCACCCAGCACTCAGCAAGTGTTTAGCAAATGTTAATTATTATTTGTATTTTATGTGCCAGACATTGTGTTAGGCACTGGGGTTATGACCATAAACAAGGCAGATACAATCTAGTGCATTCACAGAGACTATGGGCTAATGAAACAGACCAGAAAACATATAATTGCAATATATTTTATTAAGTAACATAGGAAAGGATAGCAACCTATTGCAACCACATGGGAAGGACACAGGAACAGATTTAAGGATCAAGAAAAGCCTCCTGAAGTAAGTAATCTAAGGTTTGAGAGAGGTGTATGATTGTTGTCTGTGTATTATTAAATAGATAATTTTACGTAGGACCATATACCATAATCCTTTAATCCCGTCACATGGTTTGTCACTTAAGAAATATGAACTGAATCAGTGTTAAATAAATTCTCCCATAATGCTTACTTAAATACCTCATTTGTAAGACCAGGTAATTTTTTCGTTGGCAGGTTGCTATTCTAGAAAGGGTGCAAGTATGTGGAGTGTTGAGTGTGCAGGCTCTGGTTTCAGCTCTGGCTCTGCTCTTCTCTCTCTAGAAAATGGGGATTATAGTAGAACCTACTTCATAAAGTTGTTTGAGGATTAAATATGTATGTGAAGCATTTAGTACTGTTCCTAGAATATCATAAGCACCTATAAAATAACTTATTATTTTATGACTATCATTTTTTGAGGCTTTTGTAATATTTTTGCATACAGTGATTCCTGATTACCTACATAATTATAGCATGGGTTTACGCGTCATTCTGTCTTTTGTCTAGGTCACAGGATTTCCTATCCAGATGCCTTACACTGATTTACAGTCAATTATTGATGCTGTGTATCAAACTGGAATTCATTCTTCTGAATTTCCCCAGACAGAATTTGCTCTGGCTGTATACATTCACCCATACCCAAACAACATATTGTCTGTGTGGGTCTATTTGGCTTCCTTAGCTCGACATCAGTGAAAAGGAAGAGGGAAAAGGAAAAAAGAAAGTGCTATGGGCCCCTTGCCCAGAACAATCAAGACTTTTCTGGTACTTTAGGACTTTGCTACTTATCCTCAAGTCCAGCCAAGTATGAACCCAAGTTTTGGTTCTTTTATAGAGTTGGGCACCACGGAGACTCACTCCCTGAGCCTTTGAGAATGAGTGTAGATGACCTCCCCACTGGAGACCTCTTCAAGGAGAACACTTTGGGTAGTCTGGTGGCCTTGGGTCACTGTCTACAGTAGGTCTTATTATGGGAAAGTGATTCTGGCCCCTCCCTCTGAAGCCAGTATTACTCAGGCTGTAGGCCTCACACCACCTCCGTCACATCACCTGGGGAGGCTTGTTGAAAATGCAGACTCCTACATCCTGCTTAAGACCTACGGAATCAGAACCTCTGGGAGTGAAGCTCCAGAACCCACGTTATTGTAAACAAGACCCCCAGATCATTCTGATGACCTGTTAAGAGTGAGAACCCTGCCTTACAGAATGAGAACCCTGCCTTACAGAATGTGGTCATTATCAATGTGAGCTTGGCACGTTTGATGCTGGTTCTGATGCCATTCCAGGTGGAAGGTATTCCAGTACGAACATGAGGTCATTGCCTCTCATAAGATAAAAGATTATTGCACTAGTGAAGTCAAAGGAAAATCTGCCATGTTGGGCTGAGGGCTGAGGCCAGCTTCTGGGGGCTTCCTAAAAGTTTTCACTTGGGATGCTACTGACCTGAAGTTCTTCCAGCTCCAACTATTTGGACGGGTCTCCCAAGAAGCTCTGTTTGATATGCTTTCCTGATTCTGTGAGAAAGGGAAAAATGGTCTTAACCAAATCTCAAGGCTCCTTTTTCCCTTAGTGAACAGCCTGCCATCCTGCCTCTGGCACTTTTCTGCTGCTTTCCTTTCCCCGTGGAGGGGGGGCCAAGGAGGCCCATCTAGATCCTAGGAGCCTTGAGAGAGAGAGTGGACAGGGACCTGAGTCAGAAGCACTACACTTTCTTCTCTTTAATTATTCTGTGCTTCACAGAAAAAAATATACACTTTACTTAAATGTTACAGAACAACTTATTTTAGAAAAACCAAAGGATATAGATTTCCAAAGGTTGATGAGAGCACTTTTATAGGAGGTAAAAACAGGAGAAAGAAAATTGACCTCTCCCAGTGCAGGAGTGCAGGATCTTCTTGGGTCATTCTCACAAGTAGAGACCCCAAGTTCATCTCTGGGGAATCCTCAATCTGAATTCTCTCCTGCAATGCGCCTTCATGGGCTGATGCCAGAGAAGACCTCATTTATTTTCAGTGATGTTTGTCTTGGACCAAACTTGAGATTACTAGAAGAGTAAAATAGTAGGGATGTGGGTGAAGAGAATGCTTTCTCTCCAAGGTTAAAACCTAATCGTGTGTGTTCTCTGGCACACATATGAAGATTAATTAGAATTTTTGTTCTTATTTGAATGTTTGTGTTTAAATGCTGTATGAAGTTTTGTTATTAACAAGTCTCCCACATTGATTGGGGTAGCACAAAATGATGTCAATGGAAAGACAAGGTTACCAAAAAAATACTGAACTCATGAAGTTCATTTCTGTGGCACCTTCAATATTTACATTACTATTTTGCTAGTTGTTTATGGTTTTGGAATTGATAGGCCACTCATGAGTAAGGGAGAAAGTGTTCTTGGGCAAGCATAGAAGACCCTTCTGTATCATATGCATTTTTTTTTACAGGTGTATGGCTTTCTCAAATAAAATTTTTTCCTTAAAATTTTGAAACTGTAATGAACGATTTTTTTATTTGTCTACTTTAAAAATACATGATTTTATTCTTAAGTTTTTAATTCCAGTTAACATACAGTGTTATATTGTTAGTTTCAGGTGTACAATATAGTGATTCAGCAATTCCATCCATCACCCTGTGCTCATGAGAATACCCTCCTTAATCCCCATCACCTATTTAACCCTTCCCCTCACTCACTTGTCCTCTGCTAACCATCAGTTTGTTCTCTATAGTTAAAAATCTATTTCTTGGCTTCTCTCTCTCTCTCTCTCCCTCCCTCCCCTTTGTTAATTTGTTTTTTTCCTTAAATTCTACATATGAATGAAATCATATGGTATTTGTCTTTCTCTGACTTATTTCACTTGGCATTACACTAGCTCCATCCATGTTGTTGCAAATGACAAGATTTCATTCTTTTTTTATGGCTGTATAATAAATGTTCCACTATATATATATATATACACACACACACACACACATATATATATACTACATCTTCCTTATCCATTCATCAAGCTGCTTCCATATCTTGGCTATTGTAAATAATGCTGCTATAAGCATAGGGATGCATGTATCCCTTTGAATTAGTATTTTTGTATTTTTTGGGTAAAAATAATAAATGTCACTATATATATATATATACACACACACACACACACACATATATATATACTACATCTTCCTTATCCATTCATCAAGCTGCTTCCATATCTTGGCTATTGTAAATAATGCTGCTATAAGCATAGGGATGCATGTATCCCTTTGAATTAGTATTTTTGTATTTTTTGGGTAAAAACCCAGTAGTGTGCTGAATTGTAGGGTGATTCTATTTTTAACTTAAAAATACATGATTTTAAATGTGACATCTAATTTTAAAGTTCTTTAAATCATTCCACAAATAATAATGGGGCATCCATTATGTACAAGACACGTCAGTATGTGCTAGAGTACAGCAGTGAAAAGACAAAGGTCCTGCCCCTGTGAAGCTTACATTCCTCAGGGGAAATGGACCATAAGCAAATAAACAATAACTGAGATCATTTCAGTGTGTACTGAGTGCTATAAAGAAAATAAACAGGATGGCATGATAGAGAAGGACTTTGGTGGGGATAGAGGGTATAAGCAGAGTAGTTAAGGAAGTTGTCTCTAAAGAGACAATGTCAGAGCCGAGGTTTAGAAGATGATTTATCAAATAGAATTGCATTCAGTTGCATGGAACAGAAACCTAATCATAGTGGCTTAACCAAAAGGGGTTACTTTTTCACATAACCGCCAAGTTTAGAGGAGGCAGTCCAAGTCTGATGCAGTGGATCTGTGATGTCATAGGTGTACTAGTCTTCATCCATCGTCTAAGGAGGCATCTCTAGGGAGGCTTCTGTCCACTAGCTCAGTGGTTCTCAAACTTCAGCATGCTTAAGACTCACCTGAACAGCAGTTGACACAGATTGCTGGGCCCTACACTCAGAGTTTCTGATTCAGTGGGTCTGGGGCGGGGCCCAGTGATTTGCATTTATAACGAGCTCCCAGGTGATGCCTGGACTGCTGATCTGTGGACCACACCTTGAGAACCTTTGCTTTAGCCTCACATAACTGTTTCCATGGCAAGAAAATGCAGAAAGAGAAGGGGGAGGTAAAGGACGCAGCTGGTGCAGCTCTTTTAAAAAGCTTCCCAGGAGGCCATGCCTAGAAACTTCCACTTATCTGCCATCAACCAGAATTGTATCACTCCTAGCTACAGGGCAAGCTGGGGGGTCAAGTATTGTAAATGAGGTTTTGCTGTCCCAATAAAATCAGTGTTCTATTGGTAAGGAAGAAGGTGAGGGTGGCTTATTGGGTAGGCACCTGTGGCTTCCACAGATGAGGGGAAGCCGGTAGTGCAAACCTACAGCAAAAGCCCAGCAGGCAGAGAAAACTGCAATTGCAAAGGGCTTGAGTCCAGAAAGAGACACAAGGAGGGGACAGTAGAGGCACATAAAGTTGGAGAGGTAGACAAAGATCAGATCACATCAGTCATGGTAAGGAATTCAGATTTTATACAATAACAAATCATTGGAAGGTGTTAAGTAACAGTGAAATATTTTTCATATTTAAGACTACTTTAAAAATTACTCCTACAGATACTCATTATTTTGTGTTAAGTGCATAAATGTGATCATATTTTTTAAGTGCAGCTAATTTTTTCTTTTTCTTTCTTTCTTTTTTTTGTTTGGGTCCCTACCCCACTGTTCTCTCCCCTCCTCCATCTATATTAGTCACCTCACTCACCTGCTTACCAACCAAGTATGCATCCTTCCACTTACCATCATTCTCAAATATACATATGTACATATGTGTGTGTATGTTCCTGTTTGCTTTATAAAAATGGGACCATATTATGTATGCTTTTCTGTATGTTGTTTTTCTCCTTCGAAAATAGTAGAAATACCTCCAAGTGAACTAATTCTTATTTCTTAAAGGATCCATAGTATTCTAAAGTGTGGGCAGAACCACTACATACACTTAAGCCGTTCATGCACCACACAACTCATAATTTATGTGCAAGGACCCCTGGAGTTGTGTAGTGGGTGGTGGCCTTGGTTGTGAAGATGTTAGGGTTTATTCAACCATTCTCTTATTGATAATATCTTTTGATCCAGTTGGTCAAAGTGTTGTTTAGTTTTCCTATACCCTTGCTGTTTTCTGTCTACTAGTTCTGTCAGTTACTGAGAGAAGTGTATTTAAGTTGACAACTGTAATTATGGGTTTGTCTGTTATTTCTTTGAGTCCTGTCAGGTTTTGCTTCATGTATTTTGAAGCTCTGCTGTTAACTGCACATACATTTAGGATTTATGTCTTCTTGGTTATTTAACCCTTTTATCATTATGCAATGTCCCTCTTTATCCTTATTAATTTTCTTTGCTCTGAAGTCTATTTTGTCTGATGTTTGTCTACTACTCAGCTCTCTTTGGATTCGTGTTTACTTGGTATATATTTTTTTTCATCTTTTTATTTTTAATGTACCTATATAATTTTATTTGAAGTGAGTTTTTTATAAATAGCATATAGTTGGGTTATTTTTTTAAAAAACCTTCTGACTGGGGCGCCTGGGTGGCTCAGTTGGTTAAGCCACTGCCTTCGGCTCAGGTCATGATCCTGGAGTCCCGGGATCGAGTCCCACGTCGGCCTCCCTGCTCAGCAGGGATTCTGCTTCTCCCTCTGACCCTGCCCCCTCTCATGTGCTCTCTCTCTCTCATTCTCTCTCAAATAAATAAATAAAATCTTAAAAAAAATAAAAATAAAAATAAAAACCTTCTGACAATCTCTTTTTTAATTGGCATATTTAGTCATTGGCATGACTTAAGGTCATTATTTATGTTTGGACTTAGGTCTACCATTTTATTATTTGTATTCCATTTTTCCTCTCTGTTTTTGTTCCATTGTTTTTCTTTGCTACTTTATTAGATTATTTGAGCATTTCTTAGTATTTCATTTTAATGTATATATTTTTTGGTATATATTTTTGTATATTTTTAAAGGGTTCTCTGCGGATTGTACTATACATAATTTTTCACAGTCTACTTAAAATCTACCACTTTAAGTA